TTTGTCTGTCTCTGTAAAGTCTTACATGTTTTGTCAGCTCTTTGCTCAATGTAGATTTTTGGACACAAGTTTATTCAAGTCTTCACCAGACAGTCTGCACCTTTGGTGACTGCAGATAAGGCCAGAGCTGCTAAAGACTCTCTCAGTGGTTGTGCTTGACACACGGATACATAGGTGGTGTTTGGCAAACTATGTGATAATGGGGAAACGTGATTCTGCATTTGCCAGCAGGCAAGTGGGTTTTCACTGGCAGCAATCTCTGCCACGCCCTTGTGTCTGTACTTCATGGGAAAGTTTTTCATCAGGTGTCTCTTTCATTTGGTCTCCCCCAGCATCGCTCCCATTCCTCCCTGCCACACCTGACCCTCTTCTCTCACTTTAATGCTTAAAAGGAGGTTGCCCAAGTTTGTTTTTCAATTTTTGGGACCTGCTTGTTCTTCAGGATGATTGTACTCCACTGCTGCTTGTGTTAAGTCCACCACACTGTCAGCTTCCTTCATTAGCATTTCCATTCCTTCCTTCTCCTTTGTTACAAAGATGTTTTTCAAATTCAACCGAACCGATGAAGTCACCGATGTATCACAGATGCACGTCATATATCTAGCGGGCTAAATATCTGGACCTGTCAGCGACTCCAAATCCTGTAGGTGTGAAAGGTGCTGTGACTGACAATGAGCGCGGCGACGAGCCACAGCCAAGGAGACACGGGGTGAGGTGAGAACTGAGGGAGGAATTTAAACATACACACACACACACACGTGCACACACACACACCTGTGTGCAAAGGTCATCTTGGAGAGAAGAACCTTCCTGAAACTTAACCGAGATAAGTAACCTGACAGATATACAGTAACACACAGAATCTTAATGCTTAGTCCTAAATGACACACTAATGTCCCGTTTGTGTTGTTTCAGCAGTTTTACTGTATTATGTACTTTCTGTTTTTGAAGAAGGGTTATTGTAAATTGTGAAGACAGGTTTTGCACAGTTAAATTGGTGTCTGATAGGTGTTTTCATGCCCTAATAACAAAATTATTACAGTATAAAATGGCCGTACAGTTAAATTTGATGGGTGTTTTAATGCCCTAAGAACAAAAATAAAACAGGAAAATTAATGTGTGTGTTGTTGATGTTTGCAGAAAAAAATATGACCTGTGATGGGAATATGATTGTATTGCACTTTGTCTAAGAAACATTAG